AGGTGTTGCCAGGATAACAGTGGGTAACAAATCACCCCCAAACCCAGAGATCTTTTTATAAGAAGCACTTATTCTATTCTCCTGCCCACAAGTCTGCAGGATGACTGCAGGTGGGTGGCTCCAGTCTCTGCTTGTCCGGGAAGCTCATGACAAAGCCCAGGGCTGGACGCAGGTGTGTTCCTTGAGGTTGATGCCGAGGCCCTGGGGGAAGGGGCAGAGCCACCAGGGGCTCAATCAGGGGATCCCAAGCACACTGGCCCCCCTCATGCCGACACTCAGTGGGCGCCAGCAGTCACATTAAAAGCTATTTATTTTAATAATACAAATCCGTTATCACTTAAAATAGTAAATTAATAGTAATTTAAATAGTAAATTACCTTATGGATACTAGATACACTCATCTCTGTTTTAATACAGGATAGGAAATTAATCCATTAAAAAAGTGTAGACTTTAAAAAAAAAGCGTAGACTTTAAATAATGAGTGGCTTTTACTTGCACGTTTGTAATTGTGAATCAAGGATATTTGAGTACCATTTCTTATTTTCTTTACATTTCCAGTTAATCAGCAAATATTTCTCAAGCATCTCTTCTATGCTAAGCACTCTGCTAGGCCCTGAGGGTGCAGTGGTGAAGCAGACAACTTCCTGCCTCAACAGTGGGAATCACACAAGTAATACAATAGTTAGTGGGAATCACACAAGTAATACAACAGTTATAGTAGAGTGCAGTTATTTCTTGGACATGCTAAAGAGCGTGGTGTGATAGAAATGAGGAAGAGTCCCTAATCCAGTCCTGGAGAGTCTCAGACTTTCTTGAAGAAGTGAGGCCTAACCTTGAAGGATTAGCCCTGTGTTTGGGGACAGAAACATTCTAGGAAAAAGCAGTAGTGTGTGCACAGACCTAGGAGCAAGAGATGATAGCACGAGGAAAGAAGGCGAATAAATCAGTGTTGATGGAGCAAAGAATAGGAGTAAAAAGAGTTAAAAGAAATAAAAAAGTGAGTAAGAAGTTGATGACAAAGGGTGCTTTAGGCTTTAAGCAGTTGGGTAGTAGTGAGGGTGTGTTAGTTTGGGTCCTTTTAACAGGTGCAAGACACGATTAAACATGCAAGGATAATATTAGGAGAAATGACAATGTAAGAGAAAATGAGGAGGGAGCTGGGAAAGGTCAAGAGAGCCCTCAGATTGTGATGCAAGTCTGACCCCAAATGAAAGAGAGAAGATTGAATGGAAGTGTCCTATCCTACCATGCAACCCATGGAAGGTTTGGTAAGGTCATTGACAAGTATTTAAATCAAAGTTCGTTGTTACATGTGTTGCCAAAATGTGTCTGCCTTACTATTTCTGCTGTGATCAGTCCCTGGCTAGGAGCAGCCTATGGGATATGTGGCCTTGCACAAACATGACAACAGATGTCAGAACACATCAGCTTGGGGTACTTAGTCACTTATACTCCTTCTAGCTAGAGATCTTTGTGGTGCATTCTGAAGGTGACCACAAAGGAGTCAGAAGAGAGAAATATGATCAGATTAGCTTTATCTCTACGAAAGAGTATTCTGATTACAGTGGAAAAGGATTCAGGTGAACCAATGGGATTGAGGAAAACATCTGTATTAGAAGAGTCCTTCTGATAATCCAAGTGACAGGCACTGGAGACCTAGAATAAGACTGTCCGTGAGGACAGAGAGCTGTTGAGAGGCTCATTATGGGAAATAGAATGGACAGGACGTGGAGATTAGACGGACGAAGGGAGGAGAAGGGAGGAATCGTGTGGCACTTTGCCGTCTGCTTGTGTAATTGCTTGGATGTTGGTGCCATTCATTAGAAGGAACAGAACAAATTAGGAATTGGTGACTTTAGGTTTATGTATGTTGGAATGGAAGTATTGGTTGGTTATCCAAGTAAAGAGATCCATTATAGTTCATTAGTACATGTAGTGGTAGGTGCTGTAACATAAAAATTAGTGAGCATGTAATAATTTTAAAGTAGAGTTTTTTTTTTTTTTCCAGCCATGTGAAGTTCAAAAGGGTGTTGCTCATTGATAAACAGTTTTCCTCCAAGCAGTGTTTCAGAGGTCCAGTCTCCTTCCTTCTTGGAGTTCTGCCTTCTTCAACATGTGGTTTCCAAGGTTGTGCTCAGCTGCACGAAGCCAGTGGAAAGGAATTGAGTATTGAAAAGGCACATCCATTTCATAACCAACCTCAGTCTGAACATGACATATATCGGTTTTGTTCACATTCTGTTAGTGGCAGCTAATCACATGGCTTCACCTATAATATAAGGAGATTTGAGAAATAAGATCCCTAGCTGGGTAACTTCTCAGAAACTACTTGATAAAATAGAAGGGAGAACACAGTTCTTTTTTAGACAGTTAGCTGTATCTACCATGGATTTGTGAAGCATTAGCTTATAAATGATAAATGAAAATGTAAGAATGACTGAGGTGACCTAGGAAATGTTAAATAATGAGAGGGAAAGGTTGTTGAGGATAAAATCCTGGGGAATGCTGGCTTAAAGAAGGAAGGAGTAGGTGAAGAGAAGCACATAAGAGGATTAAGAAAAAAACCTAGGGTGTAATCATTGGGAACTGTGGGGAAAAGTTCAAAGTGTAATTTAGTCAGCATCAAATATATAATAAGGTAATATAAGAGTATGGACTGCATTAATCAGTAGGAAGGCTTTTGGTGGCCTATGTGCACAGTTTCAGTGGAGAGAATAGAAGCCAGAGTTGAGGAGGGACTCAGAGGTCATTCTTTCTTCCAAGATTTAAGCAGTGGTTCTTTTTGGTCTCAGGACCCTTTTACGCACTTAGAAATTATTGAGGAACACAGAGAGTTTATGTTTATGTGGGTTACCTTTATTGAAATATGATATATTAAAAATTAAAACATTTTAAAATTTAAGTCATTAAAAAAACAAACTTTTTCCTTGTTAATATAAATAACATGTTATGAAATGACTATTTTCCATGAAAAAAACTTAATGAGGAGAGTGGCATTGTTTTACATTTTTGCAAAACTCCTTCATTTTTGGTTTAATAGAATACAACTTAATCCTCATCTGCGTCTGCATTCATTCTCTTGTACTATGTTGTTTTGGTTGAAGTGTATTAAGAAAATACAGTGTTTAGGGGGCGCCTGGGTGGCTCAGTCGTTAAGTGTCTGCCTTCCGCTCAGGTCATGATCCCGGGGTCCTGGGATCAAGACCCACATCGGGCTCTCTGCTCTGCGGGAAGCCTGCCTCTCCCTCTCCTACTCCCCCTGCTTGTGTTCCCTCTCTCGCTGTGTCTCTCTCTGTCAAATAAATAAATAAAATCTTTAAAAAAGAAAAAAAGAAAATACAGTTTTATACAGACCCCTGAAAGGGTTGGAAGGACCCCAAGGAGTCTTTAGACCACATTTTAAAACTATTGAATTATATAAGGTTAAAAATATAGAGAGAATAGTTTTGACTGTGCTTTTTTAAATAATTTTTTTGTTTTATTTTTTTGAGAAGAGGGGACAGGGAGAGAGACAATCTTAAGACGCTCCAAGCTCAGCCTGGAGCCTGATGAGGGACTTGATCTCACAATCCTGAGATCATGACCTGAGCCGAAATCAGGAGTTGGAGGCTTAACTGAGCCATCCAGGCACCACTAGTTTTGACTGTGTTTAAATGTTGATGGAATAGGAGGTTAAAAGGAGGGTAAGGGTAGAGAAAGAAGTGGTAAAGTGAGATTTTTGAAGGTCCTAGCTGACACAGAATTAGCTTTGGAAGGGAGGGAGGAGTGGGTTCCTAACTCTAGCAGGAAGGAGGCAGGTGGGCCAGAATTTGATTAAGTTTGGAGACAAGGTGGTAGGAAACAGGAGAGTTCCTGTCTGGTAAATTTTGTGTACACACATGCATATGTGGGAGACAGTCATATCCTGAAAGTAAGGAAGGAGGTAGGTAGGGAAGGAGTTTAAAGAGAGTAGATAAGTTTTGAAGTTGCTAGAGAGAATTGAAGAAAGAGCTGAACAGTTGAAACACAGAAAGATTGCTGCAAATGCACTATAATTTTAGAAATTGGGGCGCCTGGGTGGCTCAGTTTGTTAGGCGACTGCCTTCGGCTCAGGTCATGATCCTGGAGTCCCGGGATCGAGTCCCACGTCGGGCTCCCTGCTCGGCAGTGAGTCTGCTTCTCCCTCTGACCCTCCTCCCTCTCATGCTCTCTATCTCTCATTCTTTCTCTCTCAAATAAATAAATAAAATCTTTAAAAAAAAAGAAATTCTTGTTATAGAAAAATATCCATTAGCAATTTGAAAAATACATTTGTCACTTGATAAAACAGAAAGCCTCTATTCTATCCTGGGTAACCTCCTAGGTGGTTTTTCAGGTCATCTTGATTAAGCATAGCAGGCAACCCAGCTGCTTGCTTCTAGGCTATAATGTTCCCCATTTGGGTCTTCAGACTCTGTGTTTGGTCCAGTGTGTGGCAGCCATATTTTCTGGACAGCTGGGAGTCTGGCCCTGATGGGTTATGTTGGTGTTCCTGCTTCCATTGTGGCTGACCATTGGTTTAGGAACTTTGCTTTCTTCCAAAGTTAGTTACTTTGTAACTTCACCAGGTTAGAAAAAACAAGTTTCATACCTATTTGTCAGTAGATCCCTTTTCTGCTCTTTGTTATATGCTGTGTTCTCTTTTCTCAGCCAAGCACTTAGGTTTTTTTCTCTTTACTGCAGCGGCAGGAGAATGCTTTAATCTTAAAACTGACTTTTTGGGGTAGCTGGGTGGTTCAGTCGGTTAAGTGTCTGCCTTCAACTCAGGTCATGGTCCCAGGGTCCTGGGATTGAGCCCCACTGTGGGCTCCATGCTCGGCCGGGAGTCTGCTTTTCTCTCTTCCTCTGTCCCCCGCCCCCAGCTCATGCTTTCTCTCTCATTTTCTCTCTCTCTCTGTCTCTCTGTTGTGCTCTCTCGTGCACAGTCTTTCTCAAATAAATAAAATCTTAAAAAAACAAACAAACCTGACTTTTTAAAAGATAAATTTATTTGGCAAATGTCAAATTATTTAGATAACATTACTGTGCTTTTTTGAATCTTTAAAAGCACTGTTTTAGGTTAGAAAGGGTTGAACATTTGAAATAGCTTTTACCTGTATAGTGGAAGGTTATCTTTATTATTATATACAGATTTATTAGTAAGTAGGTACGGAATTGTTTTTTGACATAAGCTATGACCAGAGAGAAACCCTCCTGTTTTAAAGAAGGGAAGCCAGCTTGAATTATTCTTATTCAGTTTAAAAGCTTCTATCCATATCTATTGGTCTGCATTTGTGCTGCCTAAGCTCACCCTTTATTCCTGACGCTTCGTGGCTTCTCTAACAGCCCTCTTTCATATATATTTTACGTTTTTGCCATGTAGGTCTTTCACAGTTCTGCAGCCCCAGGCGGGCATTCTCTGAACAGGGTCCGCTCCGCCTGATCAGGAGCGCCTCTTTCTTTGCAGGTTTGCAATGTGCTGTGTGGGTAGACTAGTTGGTGTGCTCCAGTGGCTAGAATCTGTAGTTAAGCTGTGGAAACAAGAGAGCAGATAAATGCATTTGGGGAGGGTGTGGTTAAGAAAACATTGTTTAGCAAGTATAATAACTTAATTCCTTTCTACTGAGTATGTTCTTAAAACTTTCAAGAAATTTTCAGTTATCAGTAGAATTGACATTTTCATGAAATTTCAGTTTGTTATTTATCTCATTATAAAATAATGATTTTAACTTTAGAATCCTAAACCAAATTTTAGTATGAACATTATTTCTTATAATACCAGCTAGAATTTCTCATGTGACACTCTCTTGTTTCCATGGTTGAGGAGCTTTTGTGTACTCATAGTTCACCAATTGCAGAAAATGTCCTCTGTTATTATTTTAAAATTTCTGATCTATGTTATTCCATAAGAACGATTTCTCTTAGAGCTAAGATTTAGATGAACAAGCACCACTATATTGACTGTAAAAGGCATATGTGAGTGTATTTATGTAATTAAATTGATGATTATAGAGTGTGTTTATGCCTTATATCCAGGGAGTTGTATCTAACTTTTTGTTTTAATTAATATTTACTTTCCTTACAAATATGAGATAGGAACAATACATATTTATTACAGAAAATTTGAAAAATATGAAAAATGGGCAAAAAATATATATTAGCCATTGTGTCAGCTAGAATTAACCTTTCTAAAAAAACACAAAATTTAATTTGGATCATATTATTCGAACTGTTTTCTTAAAATTTTTATTTTGAGGAATTTTTAAAGATACATTAATATTGGCAGAATAGTAAAGTGAACCATCATATACCCATTATTTGCTTGCAGGAATCATTCTTACTGTTCAGTAGCGTGCTTTTTAGTCATTTAGTAGTGTATTGTGAGTATCTTCCTTTTAGTCATCCCTTGCTTCTTTAGATATTATATCATATTTTCATATTATATGTCAATCTTCACCTAGATCTCAAAGCTTGTTCAACTGAGTAATAGCTCTTGGTGTTGGGTTTGTGCCATGCTATTGAAAAAAATAAAGGAATGCAGTGAGATGAGCATGATTTCATTTGCCATATAAAAGAAGCAGCGTCACCCTGAATAGCATTATATGCTTTAACTCACAGTTTTGTCTTAATTCACAGTTCACAGCAACCCAATGGACATGCCTGGAAGAGAGCTGAATGAAGACAGAGACAGTGGCATAGCACGCTCTGGTAATGCCAGGTTCATGTGTTCATCTGGTTTTCTTATGAGATCACTGTTAGCCAACAATGATTTTTATTTTTTCCTTTATCGTCCAATTTCATGTACACAGTTTGTTAGTATTGATACTAGCCTTATAAGAGAATTGTTAGGACAGAGATCATGTTTACTGTTACATGTGCCTGGTGAAGTATGGCCTAGATGAATGGACACTGGCTTAGACTCAGCCAGTGCAAGAAAAACTCTTGCTCAAGAGACGCCTTAAATGGCATAGTAGAAAAAACACATGTGCTTATATCTGCTTACTCTTAACTGGAGTTTTAAGTTGTCAGACTGTCTCTTGCCCAGAAAAGCTTAGGCATTTTGAACCAATGCTATATATATATATTGCTTTCAAATATGGACTCCAAAATATGGACTAACAAACCTGTATTGAAACATGCAAGAGATTAAAAGAAAAAAAAAAGTAAACCTCACATTCTACCTTTAAGGAGCCCAGAGTTTACAGAGAGAACAGTCGGGAAAATTGTCCTTCATTGTGTGATGTGTTCTGATAGACCTGTGCAGAGAGGTTTAGGGAAAGGAAACCTAACTTAGCCTGGGCCAGGGGCAGGGCGCCAGTAATGCTTTACAGAGGGATAATACTTGAGTTGTGTTTTGAGAAGTAAGTAGGAGTTATTCAGGCAAAGGCATGGAAGAAGGGCTTTCCAGTTAAAAGGAAAAGTGTTTGTCAGGGCCCAGAGATAGCGTAAAAGAAAGGAGTATCTTAGGCTTGCATTATTGTTAGGTATGAGAAACTTTTATCCACTGTGTTTTATCCATATGAACTGTCACATCATATGGCTCTGCTGTCTAAATTGTTTATAATTCAGTTTTGAGTATAGGTGGGAAGTCCAAATTTACCAGAATTGTAATCCCTAGGTATGCATTAGAATAACAAGAGGTTTAAAAAAAAGTTTCACATGCCTAAACTGTACTCCAAGACTATCATGTAGTCTAGAGAAAGGCTTATGCAACTGTATTTGAAAAACAAAACAAAATGAAAAACTCAACACCTAATTCTCATGGACAGCTAGAGTTGAGAACTGCTTCTCTAATATGAAAAATCTTGATCTTTCAAATAATCTCACCCTTTTCTAATTGAATTTTGTATTTTTGTTCTTAGGAACTAATCTAGTATATATTTCTTCTAATACTCATTGCTTCTATGTAATCTAGAGATTTAATTTTCTCTTCTGTGATAGGAATTTAGTTCTTATTATTTTACCTAAGATTTTAGAGGTGATAAATTAATATCTGTATTTCATTTTCTTTAGCTATAAATTGAAGGGCCTGGCTGGATAGATCTGTAAGGCTTTTTCAAGCCATAAATTCACATACACCTTTTAAATTAATTGTGTATCTTCTTCTTTTTCCAGTAGGGTTATTTTTAATACCAGAATTTGGTAACACATAGTTTTTTCCAAATTTAGATTAGCATTTGATTTTTCACTGAAGCCAATACCTAGGTTAGTTATACATATCCAGTCTTAGACTACAGAGTTTTACAATACTTTCTTATAATACTGATAAAAATGTGGTCTTTTCAAGGAAATGGTTTAGAATTAATTCATTGACTATCCAGATAGTTGTATGGCACATAAAGCTCTTCCCTTTATCATTGGATTTGTTAGCGAGAACTGAAATGAACAGATCTTCATAATGACAGGCTTTTAGTTTTCACTCCTGATGTCCAAAAGTAATGTATCATCTGATGTGCTTCCCTGTTTTTGATTACCTCACAAATTTTCAGTATGTGGTTGTAATTATGAAGATGGGAATTTAAAATATTGCCAAAAAAAGCAAGCCCTTAATGTCTTTTCCTCTCTAGATCCAACACAGAGAAGGAGAGGCTTCCTAGTCTAAGAAAAAACAAAGGGTTGTAGCCTTTGACACTCCAGGCAAGAAAAAGAGTTTCTGGAGAGAGGGGGTTTTGGGAAGAGAATAATCCTCACAATTAGGGGATTGCAGCAATTAATAATCGTGATGGGTTCTATTGGAATGTGTCTTTCACCCCTTAGAATGCTCCAGAGAGTAATCTATAAGATTTTCTCTTTTTGGATCTTAGAAGGTATAGTCATGACTATTACTGAAAGGGGCTAAACATTCAGAGGCTTGACTATCTGTGCAGAAGCAATTCATGAGTACAGTTGACCCTTGAACAATGCAGGGGTAAGGGGCGCAAACCTCTCCACCCCCCCCGTGCAGTAAGAAAATTTGTATATGGCTTTTGACTCCCTAAAAACTCAACCGCTAATAGCCTACTGTTGACTGGAAGCCTTACTGATAACATGAACAGTCAGTTAACATATTTTATATGTTATATGTATTGTATACTATATTTTTACAGTAACATAAGGTAGAGAAAAACGTGGTTAAGAAAATCATAAAGAGAAAATACATTTACAATACTGTACTACATTTATTGAAAAAAAAATGTGTAAGTGGACCTACACATTTCAAATCCATGTTCAAGGGTTAATGGGACTTTTATTTTACTTTTATTCTTTTTATTGAAGTATAGTTGAACACCCAGTGTTACATCTGTTTTAGATGTACAGCATAGTGATTTGACAATTCTACTCATTATGCTGTGTGTACCACAAGTGTAACTCCCATCTACTACCATACAACAATATTACAGTACCACTGACTCTTCCCTGTGCTGTCCTTTTTATGCCTGTGACTTATTCATTCCATAACTGGAAGCTTGTATCTCCTACTACCCCTTACCCATTTTGCTCTTCCCATCCAACCCCCTTCTCTGGCAACCATCAGTTTGTTCTGTGTTAATGGGTCTCTTTCTGCTTTTTGTTTGTTTTTTAGATTCCACATATAAGTGAAATTATATGGTATTTGTCTTTCTCTGTCTGACTTACTGCACTTAGCATCATACCCTCTGGGTCTATCTGTGTTGTTTCAAATGGCAAAATCTCATTCTATTTTATGATTGGCTAATATTGTATACATCTTCTTTATCTCTTCATCTATCAGTGGACACTTGGATTGCTTCCATATCTTGGCTATTGTAAATAATGCTGCAGTAAACTTAGGAGTGCATATATCTTTTTAGATTAGTGTTTTTGTTTTCTTTGGGTAAACACCCAGTAGTGGAATTACTGAATCATACGGTATTTCGCTTTTTAGTTTTTTGAGGAATCTCCATACTGTTTTCCGCAGTGACTGTACCAGTTTGCATTTCCACCAACAGTGCATGAGGATCCTTTCTCTTCATATCCTTGTCAACACTTATTTCTTGTTCATTTGATTCTAGCCATTGTGACAGGGATAAGATGATGTGCTTTTAAATAACATCCTCAAATGACATTCAGACACTAATTTTCAAATACAGCTTTTGTTCTTAAAATCTAGCTGCTTCATTAAAATGAATCACAGTAATCCAGCAATTGTACTATAAAAATATTAATTCAGAGAGATACATGCACATTTATACAGTTTACAATGCATGTTTATAGCAGCATTATCTACAGTAGCCAAAATATGGAAACAGACCGAGTATCCATCAACTGATAAGTAGATAAAGAAGATTTGGTATATTTATATGGTGGAATATTACTAAGCCATAAAAAAGAATGAACGCTTCCATTTACAACAATATAGATGGAGCTACAGAGTATTGAGCTAAGTGAAAAAAGTCAGTGAGAGAAAGACAAACACATATGCTTTCACTCATATGTGGAATCTAAGAAACAAAACAAACGAGCAAGGGGGAAAAATGAGAGAGAAGCAAAACAAGAAACAGACTCATAACTACAGAGAACTAACTGATGGTTA